TCGGCCGCCGGACTGCGGCCCTCGTCGTCCCGCCTGGCTCCGGTCCGACGCCTTTGTCTGCCCCGTCTCCAGCCCGCGCCCCGTCTCGGCGCCCACGCCGCGGAATCCGGGCCCGGAGGACGCGCCGCGCAGGGAGCCTCGGACCCGGGGTCAGAAGGGCTGCTTACCCGGGTGGGGAGCGATGCTGCGTCCTTCCGAAGCAGCCAACCGCCTCGGTCCCCTGGACCAGGGTCAGGAAGTCTGTTCTCCTAGTTTGGGATGAGCCTGTGTTAACAGTCCTGCCAGAGGCCTTCCACCTGCCAGAGCCCCTTCCTCCCACTCCTGCCTCTGCCTAGGGGAAAAACCAGGAGCCCCGCTTTCGTTGAAACATGAAAAGCAGATTCTTGTCATGGACAAAGAAAGCGACTTAGATTGCCATGTTTGTGCAAGTGAATAAGCCAAAAGAAGGAAATAAGTTGTGTTCTTTAAAAGTGTTATGTGTTAAACAATAGAATTTTTAGTTTGGGGTAAAAAAAAAATCGTTATGCCTTAAACACTTTTAACACATGGTATTTTATCATGCATGAGAGGATAATTTTAAGCTTTAAATAATTTCTTTTGGTCATAATTTTTCATATGTTTATACCTTTTCCCAGAATGAGATGCATGTGCGAGCTGTTCTGAGAGACTATATGCTTTACTAAAGATTGCTCGTCAATGCTTTACCTTTCATACTTACATTCAGACCCTATAGGAAACTTTCTAATAGATTAATTTAGCTAGAATACAGAATAGTGTTTCCCTTGCTTGGAAAGATCACACCTGAATTATTAAACTTTAGACTGTTTTCCTGCTTTTTTTTTTTTTTTCAAGTGCTGGGCATCAAACCCAGGGCCTCACACATTAGGCAAGAACTCATCTATGTTCCTAGATCCTAAATGTCTACTAAGGTCTCAGCGAATTATAAACCAAATCATGTGCTAAGGAAAGGGATCCATATATTATTGTCCATGTAAGTAGAGAACAGTATTTTGTTCACTGCAAATTAAGATTGCCACATTGATTTTTGTACATTGTGGACACTTACATAGTCTCATAGATTGTGGGTCTTCTACTTGGAGTGGGTTCCAAAGGAGACATTAAGTTTCCTGAAGTTTTGTGACTGTTAACTCAGCAGATGTTTTGGCACTGTGCTTTGCTGGTCCTTCTTCTGAGGAATGAACGATAAAGGCCAGCCTAAGAGCTGGGTGTGTCAGTACACACCTGTATCCCTATGCTCTGGGGGCTGAGGCAGGAGGATCAAGAGGTAGAAGCTAGCCTGGGCTACAAAGCAGGACAAAAATGAAATTCTGTCCTGGGCAATTATTTCTAAGTGAGTCAACTAGTTCTTGAAAAATGTTTATGTCAATAATGGCCAAAGTAGAATAAGGATAAATAGTGATTGTGCTAAATTGTGGTGCACATTTGCATCCAGACTGTGCTGGGTGCTTTAATGGTATTATTTAATCTCACAGTAATTAAGGTTGTTGTTATTTTCCGTATAGCTGAAACAGTTGAAGCCCCAGGTTGCCCTGCAGACATGGTAAAGCAGGGTGAGTGTCCATAGCACACTTTATTCCTTTTGCTGCAGCATACTTTGTTTTATGGTTTGTTAATCTTTGTGAATCTGTTTAATCCAAAGATCTCAGAAATGCTAATACTACTGTTACAATCATTCAGTGCTCACACTGTACCAGTGACAGTTCCCATCTAGAGTGTCCTGGAAATGCAGACGCCACCTACGACTTCACCTTTGTTTTGCAGATGAGGAAATTGAGACACAGATGATTTGAACTAGGTAATATCTTACTGGTAGAACCAGGAGACACAGTTGGAGGGTTCCACTTCAGAATCTATACTCGTAACTACTACACTGTACAGATCCTTCAATAAGGTACATCTCTGAAGCTATGACTTTAGCGTGCTTAGTGTTTTTTTGTTTCTTTCATGTTTTAGATTTATTCATTTTTATTTTATGTGTGTTTGCTTGTGTGTTGATGTGTATCGTATACATGCCTAGTGCCCATGAAAGCCAGAAGAGGGCGTTGCAGCCCCTGCAACTGGAGTTATGGACAGTTGTAAGAAACCACTTGGGTGCTGGGAACCAAACCCAGGTCTTGCTCAATAACAGCAAGTACTCTTAACTGCAGAGCCATCTCTCAAGACCCTGTTGCTTTTTAATGTCTGTGCAAACACATAGACTTCTTTCTTATCTTGGCTAACATTTGACGTCCCATGGCAGTGTTTTATGTAAACTACTGCCTAGTTCTTGCTGCTGACTTGCCTCTCCATTTCCACTCTCAACAGTCCTAGGAAGTATATACTATCTTTATATATCATGTCTCATTTGTGAGGTGCTTTTACTATCTCCAGAGGACCTTCACAAAGTGATCCCTTTTGTTCTCTCTGCACTGTCAGTCATAAGGCTTTTCGTTAAATTTTAGTGCTGCAGTTCCACAAGTTTAGGTGACTTACATTGACTGGCGTGTGATGATGCCAGAACGCAAACCAGACCTTCAGGCTCTGGGCACACTGCTCTTGGTCTGTCAGTGATCTTTGCTCTACAATGTGCCATGTTTTTCTGCAGAGGAGCTTATGTTTTCAAGTGGTATTGCCAACCTAGAAACTAATGACTTTCAAACTATAAACATGACTAGCCATAAACCTTCACCATTGTTTCCTCCTAAAATTTTGTATTCCAACTTGAGCTGCACCACCTGACACATAATGGAGTGTTTGTAAATGCGTGGATAAAATAGTGTGTCTTAAATTGGCTGACATAAAGAGCTTCCTAAAACATTTTAACTTTGGATTGTAATTTCTGTTTCTTTTCTTTCTTTTTGTAATATCCTCAGCCCATCTCAGGAGCTTTTGCAGTTGGTTCATTGAAACATAATGGGCTTTATGATCTATTTGAATTCGTCCTTTCCCATCCTAAGCCAGCATCTCCAACTCAGTACCTCTCCTACCATACTTTTATAGAGAATGGAAAGAACCATCTTACTAGCTCTATGGCATTGTATAAATTACTTAGCTCCTTCAAACCTGTTTCCTTCATTGTAAAATTAGGAAGAACTCCTCTTTCATAGCCATTACAGGCTCCTCTGTCTCTCCAGGGTGTGACTCCATTTTGGCTCTTGGCCAAAATAATGTTACTATGATGCTTACATGATAATCAGTTTTTCTGCCAGGATCCACTGCCAAATCAATGAGGTCAGTTTCACATTGCTTCAGAATAGAAGGGCTGAAAAGAACTTTCCAAAGAGAAATTGTTTCAAAAAAATAACACTACTAAATAGTTAATGATACAGTTATAATAACCATAAGCACAATAACTGCTCTGCTAAGTTGCCAGGCTAAGTTTCATTTTGTTAAGTCTATACAAGTTCAGTATGAACAGCCATCATTATTTGTACCATGAACATTCACTCAGGGAAAAACAGGAGGGAAGTTATTTAGGAATAGAATGAAATTATAATCTTTTTAGCAAGCTACATGTTTCACCTTCTTCACAGTTTGCTTGAATAGTCAGTGTATAAACAGGCATGCTTAATGAATTTTTAGGAAAAGAAATTACACTCAGTGGGCATTTTATTTGGAAAAATGTTTTTTTTTTCTTTTTCTTTTTTTTTTTTGTTTTTTTTGTTTTTTTTTTTTTCAAGACAGGGTTTCTTTGTAGTTTTGCGCCTTCCCTGGAACTCACTTTGTAGACCAGGCTGGCCTCGAACTCACAGAGATCCGCCTGGCTCTGCCTCCCGAGTGCTGGGATTAAAGGCATGTGTGGCCACCGCCCGGTTGGAAAAATGTTTTAACATATAGCAAAAGCAGAAAGAATTTTGTAGTAAACACCTAAATGCCTGCTTATTGATTCTGTCTTTTTATTGCATATTTAATCCATCTGTCCATCCTTTTATGTGCTCATCTTTCAAGTCATAAAATCCTAAAGCTTTTATGTTTGAAGAGATTTTGGATGGATATTCTGTGTTTGTATTAGGTCAGTTTTATTTTTCTTTATATAGTGACAGGTAATTTTTAGGAATGGGCTGTCACTATAGTTTCCAGTGTTCTGGAAACATTTGAATTTCAGATGTAGGTAAAACTGTGTTTTCCCTATTTCTAGCTCCAAAAGATGAGTCGTGGGTATCCAGAAAACAATAATTTCCTGAATAATAACAACCAAATGGTATTGGATATGATCCTTTATCCATTAATTGGAATCCCTCAGACCATCAACTGGGAAACAGTGGCAAGGCTTGTGCCTGGATTAACACCCAAAGAGGTAAGTAACAATCCCCCAGATACCTCCTAAAAAACAAAAAGACAACAGCAACACTACAAACGGAATCCCCCAAAATGTGGGATTTAAAGAAACATCTAAGTGAAAAAAATTTTACAGTTTTTTTATTTATTTTTATATTTTTTATTTTGTATATGAGTGTTTTGTCTTCATGTATGTCTGTGCATCATATTTGCATAGTGCCCAAGGAGACCAGAAGAGGGCATCAGTTCCTCCAGAAATTGAGTCTCATCTTAGCCCTCTGGAGGCAGAGGCAGGTGAATCTCTGAGTTCAAGGCCAGCCTGGTCTACAGAGCAAGTTCCAGGACAGCCAGGGCTACACAGAGAAACCCTGTCTAAATAAATAAATAGTATTTTAACAATGCCCATCACCAAGGGAAAAAAGACAGAATAGAGAAGGAACTCAGCAGAGAGTTCATGCCGAGAGAAGGCAGATGATGTAAGAAAAAGGCTGTCCTCCTGCCTCTGCTTCCCGAGTGTACACCACCGCCAGCCGTGAGGAACATTCAAGTACCTCTTGGTATGAATTAAATTTTAAGGAGAAAAGTAAATGGGCTCTGAAATACTGATAACTTAGTCATCCTGATAACCTAGTTGATTATATTAATTTTATGCTCCGAATCAAACTTAAATTTAAGAATTCTTATAGGGAAAACATAGTCTTGTAATTCATTCATAAACACTAGTTTGAGAATCACAAACTCCAGTCTTTTGGTGCATTTTATTTTTGTTGTTGTTGTTTGTTTTTTGAGACAGGGTTTCTCTGTGTATCCCTGGCTGTCCTGGAACTCACCATGTAGACCATGTGGCCTCAGACCTGGAGATCCGCCTTTTTCTGCCTCCCGAGTGCTGGGATTAGAGCTGTGCCACCACCACCCAGCGGGTTTGTTTTTGTTTTTCATATGAAGTTTTTCAGCATAACCCAGACTAGACTATCTCTGTCTTAATCTCCAAAATGTTGGGATTTGAGTGTGCCACCATATATAAAACTCACTGTGTAGCCCATGCTGTCCTGGAACTCATAAAGATCCTCCTGCCTCGGCCCCGGAGCACAGGGATTACAGTATCTAGTAATTCCACTGATGGTCGGTCTCATTGTGACTGACTTGACTCCGGTGCTGAGTTTTCTTCCTTGAGTTTAGGACTTCTCATTAGTCTTACTGCCACTGAAGTAAAAATCATGGTAAAACGTTCCATCTTCTCAATCCTGAAACAAACAAACAATAAAAACTATTTGTATCAAAAATGGTTTTGTACATGAGATGAAGCAGAAAGAATTCAAATATAAGCTCGAAACTTCGCAAGAAAGGTCATGGCTATCATTTATCTCCTTTAAAAGTATGTATGGATATTAAGTCAAACCCAGCAGGTATGTGTCTTAAAATGTTATCTGTGTGTGTGGTTGACTATAAACAGGCCACAGGACCAGTCTTGAAATGCCCTCAGGAGGCTCTGCCATCAAATGGGTGACAGTGAAAACATTTCTTTCAAATGGAAGAGGGTAAGACAAGGACAGAACGCAAAAAACAAAAAAAGATTGGAACTTCCCTTCTTTCTTTGTAGCCCCCTCCACCCCCCCTCATCCCTGCCTTCTCTGTGGCCTCCACTGTGATGGGAGACCACCTTTACCATTAGGCCTGACCTCGTCTGAGATCATCTTATTTCCATCAATTTTGCTTCCTTCTGTGGCCTCCGTGGCAGCTTTGGCATCTTCTTCGTAGGTAGCGTGTTTCCCTAGGATGGTGAGGCCCTGGACCAATGCTTAGTACAACAACGACAGCCTGTGACAGGCTGTAGAAGAGATGGGGAAGAAAAGTAAAGTGGAGCGTGGCAAACGAGGTCCTCCTGGAGTTCCTTCTCTCCCATTGGAAGTTGGAACTAGATGTTATTAGGGCTAGGAATATTGGTTAGTGGTGCCGACTTTGGGTTCAATTCCTAATCCTAGGTTAAGGTGAAGTCTGTGGTCATACCACTCCGAACATGCCCAGTCTCATTTGATCTCCAGAGCTAAGCAATATCAGGCCTGGTTAATAGTTATATAATGAGAGAATTAGATATTATTCCTGGTGGAAACACAGTTAATACAAAAATAAAAGCCAAGTATTTTACTTGCTAATATTGTCAACTGAGATGCATATCAAAGGGAAATATGGGTAATAAAGATAATCTTTACTCTTTAAGAACATATAAACATGATTCTTTTGAGTTAAGTAGTTTTTATTTTATTTACTGCAATATTTTAGGTCTATAGATGTTTTGTCTGTATGTATGTGTGCACCATTTGCCTGGTGCTCTTGGAGGCCCCGGGACTGGAATTAAGAGATGATTGTGAGCTGCTGTGTGGGCATGGGAATTGAACCTGGGATCTTTGAAAGAACCAAGGGGCTGGAGAGATGGCTCCGAGGTTAAGAGCAGGGGTCTAGAGTTCAGAACCGGCAACCACATGGTGGCTCACAACCAAATGAGATCTGGTGCCCTCTTCTGGCCTGCAGGCACACATGCAGACAGAACACTGTATACATAATAAATAAATAAATCTTTAAAAAAAAAAAAAAAGAAAGGAAGGAAGGAAGAAAAGAAAGAGCCAATGCTCTTAATCACTGAGCTATCTCTCCAGCTCTGAGTTAACACATTTTAAAAAACAAATTCTACTCTGACTTTTAAAGGAGAAAAAAATTAAGTTGAAGAATTTTACATATTGAAATATAAAATTCTGCTGATGTTCCCCCAACAAATTAACACACACACACACACACACACACACACACACACACACACACACACACACACCACACACATACTCACTCTCTCTCTTTCTAGAAAAGTATCTTTGGGGACTGGAGAGAGGGCTTATGGGTAAGAGCACTTGCTGCTCTTGCAGAGGACCCAGGTTCTGTTATAGCACTCATACGGAAGCTCATAACCACCTGTAACTTCACTGCTGGGGGATCCAACACTCTCTCCTGGTTTCAGGGGGGTGGGGGGGGCACAAAAGACACTCACGTGATATACATACATACATGCTGGAAAAACAGTATACACATTAAATAAAATAAATAAATCTAAGATAATTTTAAAGCATCTTTAAATAGAAGACAAGAAAATATCTTTTTTGCTATTAATCTTTTTTTCTTTGCCTTATACATAGTTACATAACCTTAATGATTGAAGTTGATTATTCAGAACTATGAATAAATATATCTTCTCTCCTATGTTAGATCATTCAACAATATTTCATTAAAATTTATTGGCTGAAGATTATCATTCATGATTACTTAGTGGTTACTCTTATAATAATACTCAATGATAATATCATGTATTAAGATAGTAAGCTTGTATAAAACCATTATGTGCTTTTTAAACTTTTTTGGTTAGCACAGGAAGTACCATTCTGGCATTTTTATATCAAGTGATTTTTTTAATTTAGCCTCTGTTTTTACCATTTTATATCATTGCAGTGTGCAAAAAGGTTTGATGAGCTGAAGAGCAGCGGAAGCTCACCTGTTGACAACCAGTACAACCCCTTAATGGCGGCTGGGGAGGGTCCTGTGGAGTCTTTAGCCACTTACATTAAGTCTTCGCTTCTGGAAGCACAAGCAGATTTTCAAGAGACTCCAGTTGATCAAGATACAGTTTCTAAAGCAGGTAAGGTTGTAAAATAAAATGTAGTTCTGTCCTAATGGAAATTCTACAATTGTACATTCTAGTCAACCTTTCTTTCTTTGTTTAAAGGCTAGCTTAAATACTTGTGTAAAAATATGTTAGTATTTTTCTTTGTGAATGTTAAAAATTCTCATTGTCTTTTTCATTTTTCAAGAACCTTAACTGTAAATATGTAGGTTAAGTAATATTTCTAAAAAATGTTAATTGTATCAAAATGATTTCCTCTAGTTTGTCAACCTAGTTTTTTACATAGTGTTTATTTGCTGTAATTTTGTTTTTTGAAAAAGGGTGTCATGTAACCCAGGCTGGCCTTGAACTCAGTATGTAGCTGAGAAAGACCTTGAACTTTTGAGTTTCCTGCCTCCCATCTCCCAAATACTGAGAGATGGGGTGTATCACTGTACTGAGAGATAGACTGTATCACCACGCACAGCTTATGCAGTGTTGGGGATTAACCTCGATCATGCTAGATAAGCCTTTGACCAGCTGAACTGTATTCATAGTCTTCATTTACTTACTTTAAATGAATTTAACATGGACATCTTATAGCACATTTATATTTCATTTTCTCTCCTGTACTCATAGTTTATTTGTAGATATCCCACTTAAAAATAATAAATTTTTCTTCTCCCAGAACTAAATCAAAGCTGAGTTTTAAGTCCAGCTGTACTCTGACCTGTTTTTTACTTTTATTTTTTCATGTAGCCCAGGCTGGCTCAAACTCGTTATGTAGTTGAGGATAACCTTGAACACCTGATCTTCCCAAGTGCTAGGATAAAAGCACGTACAACCATACTTGGACACTTTTTTTTTTTTTTTTTTGGTTTTTAGAGACAGGGTTTCTCTGTGTAGTTTTGCGCCTTTCCTGGAACTCACTTTGTAGACCAGGCTGACCTCGAACTCACAGAGATCCACCTGGCTCTGCCTCCCGAGTGCTGGGATTAAAGGCGTGCACCACCACAGCCTGGTATACTTGGACACTTTTTAAAGTATTTATTAATTCATTTATTTTATTTGTTTGTTTTTGAAACAACATCTGTGTAGCCCTGCTGTCCAGAACTTACTGTTTAAACCAGACTAGTCTAGAACTCACTGAGATCCACTTACCACTGCCGAGGGGGGGGGGGGGGGGGGGTCTTGCTCATCTCTTACATAATCTTTTTTTTACAGCCATTCTTTACTGGAGTTAACAGAGATTCAAGTGGCACAGTGACAAGGTTGGAGAGGTGTTTTCTGGAGTTACATTTGGAAGTCACTGGTTTAGAAGTCCTCAGAATGAGTTGCTTTCATTTCAGCCGCAGTCAGAATATTGAAATAGAAATGTACTTCAGGAAGAAGAGGCTGTGCTGTGCCTTTGAACACTTGGCTTAGTCTGGAATACCACATCCTTTGAGAATGTACACTGTCACATTAGCAGTGTGTGATTCACTTTTGTACTGCCTTTAAAATATTAATATTAAGAGGAGACATGCCCCTGACAAATACCATCTTTAACTGGCCTTGGAAACCATGTATTTACCTTGTTACCATTCCATAAGTAAAAACCCATTCTCCGCTAGAAATGCTAACCCACCCACCCCTTTTTTGTATGTGTCTGTTTCTGTATTTAAGGAAGACATAGTATAGCTTCCACAAGGAATTGTTCTTCAGAAAGTGAGAATTGTACTGCTCGTAATGCTGGCGAAAAGACTGAAGAATCTGAAGGGTAGGAGGCTGGCTGTTTGCTAGATAAGATTTAATATAAATATTATCTTTAACCGTAAAAGTATTGATTGGTGGTTATGTGTATTGGTTACCACACCTTAGGAATTTTATATTACATAGTTGCTGAAGCATTGGAATCAGATTCATCTGTGTTGAACAACAAAAAAATAACATAATACCTAAACATATTACTTGCTTGTGTTATTTATAAGTTATGGAGGTTTTTCATTCTTAAAAATTAATTTGCATATTTTTAAAAATTAGAAATAACATCTATTAACATAATTTGGAAAGTAAATTTCAATGCCCAAAGAAAACCTCTAAGTAATTAGTCCTTTAACTTTATTAATGATATTAGATATGTATTTTAGAACTGTTTAATATAGTTGCTTTACAAATATTTAAAAATCAGAATGTATTTCAGTATGCTTCAAGTTTTGATATTTTGTTTTGTTCTGTGTATTTTCTATACAATAAATTGCATGCATAGTAAATGTTTACTTTGTTTTGACAAATAGTATACCATATAACTATTATCTAATGAAAATGCAAAACATTTTTGTCATCTATAAAATTTTTTCCAGCACCTCTAATTTTGGTAGATTTATGGTAACAGTTTTATTAATATAAAGTTCACATACCACAGAATTCATCTACATGCTACCTTCCTTTTCTCCCTTCTCCCCTCTTTTCCTTGTATGGAGGATTGAGCCTGGGATAGTGCACATGCCAGGAACACACTCAGCCACTGAGCTGGTATCTGCAGCACTTTTAAAACTTATTTTGAGTCAGAGTCCAACCAGATTTCCCAGATAGCCCAGAACTTGAGCTTTCCCTGTCCACAAGCAAGAGTGTGCCATGGTGAGCATGTGCCACCTAAGTGAATTTGAAACCAAAGCACAGTTGGTAGGAATCAGTTCTCTCCTACTGCCATGTGGATCCCGAGAATTAAACTGAGGTCATCAGGCTTGGCAGCAAACACCCTTTCCACTGAGCCATCTTATTGGCCCCGTTTGATTTTGATAGAACACTGGTTATAATACTTCTTATGCCCCACCTATATATGAAACACTTACTTAGTATTGGAAATTTGTAAAACTGAACTAAGCACAAAGTAGTTCACATTTTTAGTACACTATTCTTCCTATTTATTACCTTTTTGTAATGGCATGAAGACAGTGCATCATACTGTTTTGGGGTTTTGGTTTTTTGTTTGTTTGTTTGTTTGTTTTTAGGGATTCTGTTTGTGTATGTGAACGTGCATGTGTGGAAGCCAGAAGATTCTCTCTGTCCTAGAACTTTCCAGATAGGCTAGGCTGGATGTGGCCCAGTCCTAAGGATCTGCCTGCCTTGGTCTCCCCAGCACACTGTGCTTTTTAAAATGGATTCTAGGAATTCAGCTCCATCTACTTTACCAGCTGAGCTATAGCCCTGCCCCTGCTTTTTCTTTTTTATTTGACGTTTGCATTTTTGAGACAGGGCCTCAGTCTATGGCCCAGGATGGCCTGGTATTTACTATGTAGTACAGACTGGCCTCCAACTGATGATAATCCCTACTGCTTCAATTCTCATGCCCTAGGAATATACACCTGAGCTGCCATACCTAGCAAAATACATCACCTTCAAAGAAGGTAAATTCAAGGAGTATGTAGTTTTTGAAGCAAACTTTCAGATGTATTATCTAAATTTACTAAATTATTTTATGTAAATAAGCACATAGTCTTAAGAATTCTTGTCACCGTACTCATTAATACATATTTCATGAATGTCTGGACCCAAACATTGTTGATGCTCAAGTAAGTGATACTGGTTTTTAATTTGATTGTTCAAGGAATCATTTTAGATATTTTTCCTTTTTCAAAAGTGTACAGATGTTAGTCATTACACAAGAATCAAAGACTATTATTTAATTGTTTGGGAATTGAAACTTGAACAATAAAATTGAAGCCATGTTAAAGTATTAGTTCTTTAATAACAATATTTTATTTCTTTATTAAGTGAATAGCTTACTAAAATTAATCATAATCTTAGGTACAATCAGATAGACAAGAAACAAGAAATTCTGAACACCAAACCCTATAAAGCAGATTTTTGTGGTCCAAATCTTCAGAACCATCTTGTTCTCTTACTGCTACTAAATGTCAGTATTCTGCCTCCTCTTCTCACTCTAATAATCTCATTTATGTGTAACGCTTTTTATGAAGGCCAAACATGGTGATCCACGTATGTGATGAAGCAAAAAACTTGAAAGAAGATTTTATTTGCCCACGAGATCTTTTGATATCAGAAATGAAGTACTTTGCTGAATACTTATCTATGGATGCCCAGCGCTGGGAAGAGGTGGACATTTCAGTTCATTGTGATGTTCACATTTTCAACTGGTTGATAAAATATGTTAAAAGGAACATTAAGGAGAATAAAGATTGTGAGATTCCCACTTTAGGTAAAAAAAATCAATCTGTTGCTTATTTTGTGATGAAATTTGTGTATCACGTGGTAGTTGTTTCAGGTCCAAACTGAGATGTAGAAGTTTATCTAAATATTAGTATCTATGCTCATATTACAGAAACTGATACTTTATCTGTCCTAGAAAGAGTTCTGGAGACTCTTTAAAAGGCCTGCAAGGAGAACCAAGTTTAAATGACAGTACTGAGATGTTACTCACTTTTTCTACATGTCAAGGTTTGTTCAGAATGTGAACATTCTGCACAAGGCAATGGTGTGCAAGATTGTTGAACTTTATATCCCAAATCATAGCAGACACAGCAAACTGTACCATTGTTTTCTCCAGTACCATGCACTCATCGTTAAAAAGGAAAGGAGAAAAAATAGGTTCACTTGTTCTTGATGAAACAGTAACTCTCAGGTATACATCCTTTTCTGGATTCTGATGATAGTCCTCAGCACTTGGGGTGCACACCAGTGTACTGTCTGGAGGGAAGGCATTTATACGGCCGAGTTAGGAGCTACCTGGGCTGACTGCAAAGTAGAAAAACATGTTTACTTGAGAAAACAACTTACAGAAGTTAGGATTATTCACACAGGTGCTTGACACATTTTTCTCTTTGTAAATGAGCTAATCACATAAAGGAAAATAGCTGATAGTATGTGTTATTGGTGATTAAAACCAAGTTCTAAGTGAGAAAATTTCCCTGCTCCAATGTGACTTAGCTTCTCCATACACAAAAACTTTTCTTTTGAAATTCTATTGGTCTTACTAACAAATCTGACTTTTAAAAATACCTCTTCACAATGGAGTGTCTGAATATTTAGAACATGCATAACTCAGTGAGCAAGATTTTTCCAAATGAGCATTGTGCAATGTCTAAAAAAAATTCTGTAATGGGTTAATGATGCACTCACACTGTAAGATGAGTCATTGAACAAAGTAGAGGTTTATTGATATGATTTCAGATTCTGTTCCACTCAACCTTCAAGAAAATATATTTTAGCTTAACAAAAGCAGCCTACCCACAAACGCAGCCGCTGATGTGAAGCCAGGCATGGTGGCTCATGCTTGTAATTCCAGCACTTTGGGACGCTGAGGCAAGAGTATTGCTATGAGTTGAAGACCAGCCTGGGCTCCAGAGTGAGATCCTGTCTCAGAAAGAAGAAAGAAACAGATATGAGCATTCTACAGTCAGTTAAGTTAGACATTGAAGAGATTTACGGAAAATGTCAACCAGTGCCACTCATTAATTTTTTTCATTTGAGGATATTTTTCACAAAAATATGTTTACATGTGATAGGATTATTGTATTTTAAAGCTGGCTTATAAAAGTTTCTCTGCTTATGTTATTTCTAATATGGTAAATACTGACATATGACCCACATAAACAAAATCTGTTTAGGATTCTCAATTTTTAAGATTGTAAAGGAGGCCTGATACTGGAAATTTTAGAACCAGTGTTCTTAATGATAATAAGATAACTGTTAAGGAACATGTATGTATGAAAATGTCATAGTGAAACCCATTATTTTAATGTTAAAATATTTGAAAAAAATAACTAATAGGTAATCTTTCAATTGGCATAGATTTATATAAGAAATAATAAAATCTATGTACTAGAACAGCAATGTCAGAATATTTTCAAACACACAGTAGAGGCTGGGAGCATGGCCCAGTGGTAGTTTGCTCACCCAGTATTCATGAGGACTTAAATTCAATCCTAGGCACTGCGAGCAAACAAAAACTCCTGTTACTATGCTTACAGTATTAAAAAGATTTCTGAAGTTTAAAATTTGTTATAGTGGCCAAACAAATGGGAAAGATTTCTAAATAAAAATGTTTTAAATAAAAATGCCCTTTCTAAGGTTGTTGAATCAAAATTTTCAGCCAGGGCTGGAGAGATGGCTCAGTGATTAAGAGTGTGGTCTGCTCTTCCAGAGGACTAGGTTGGATTCCTAGCACTCGCATAGCGCCTCACAACTGCCTGGAACTCCAGCTTTAGGAGGTCCTGTGCCCTCTTCTGGCCTCCTCAGGCTCTGCATGCACATGGTGCAGACATGCATGCAGGCAAACACCATGGACAGAAAATAAACCTTTAAAAAAATGTAAAGGTCTTTTTAAAAATTCGAGGCAGAGACCAGATTTTAGATTATCTAATTGTGAATATATGTGTACATATATATTCATATATGTGTATGTATACACACACACACACACCCCTCTTTTGTGGTCAGTAGTAGCCTGTTGTGAGAACATTGGAGAGTTTAAAAATATATAGATAATGGGGTTTGTTTACTGTAGCATAGTCACATGCGTTTAGTAAGAGTGAAAGACATAGAGGGAGACTGCTTATTCTGTTTATCTTTGGCTTCGCACTGCTATAAATATCAGCTTTTTTAGAAGCAGCCCTTATCCCAACCAAGAGAAGGATGAGAATGCTTAATTAAATCTCATAATTAAGCCACTGGTTCTTAATTGGATGGTGTATCCTCAGGTACAATTTCTCAAGAAACTTTTCCACCAGCTTGAGAACCTTGAATTAGAACTGTTATTTGGAAAGACTGGAGTTACTTACCCATTGCTTAGTCCAAGAAGGGTTTCTACTACAAGACTTTAGAATGATTATTACCAGAGTGGTGGGAAATGGCAGGGTTTATTCTTCTCAAATATGTTTTATAGAGATGACAGATTTACTAAAATGGTAGTGTGAGGCAGCACCCTTTTCCCTGTCTCTGCCTGGAGACCCACTTAGTGTGGCAGTCGTGTGTAACTTTAACAGGTCAGTGTTACATTTCAGAATCTTTAAATATATTTGTCAGCACTGAATGCCCTTCTGAAATAACTTCCCTAATTAATGCCCTCATTAATCATTGTTTAACTTTTCTCACTGACTTTTGCATGTCATTATCTTTAGCTAGTCTTTGTTCTTAACAAGAATCTAATTCAAAGACAGTTTACCGTGTTTCTCTATACTCTATGATTTAACATTAAATTTTCTCTCTTGTTTATCCAAGCTAAGTGATATGAGTAAGGGTATATCAATTTTTTATTAAAGTAACATCCTCTTTTAAGATGAAAAGAGAAAATTGAGTTAAAAATCAAAAGGAAATTTCATTTTTTTCTTTTTATTAGAGCCAGGAAATGTCATTTCAATTCTTATTTCTTCAGAGTTCTTGAAGATGGATTCATTAGTAAGTATTCATTTTAAAAATCTAAGCCTCTTTATTGACATAATGCTTTCCCCCTTTTGAATTATAGAAAGCAAAATAGTTCAAGAGTGTAATTGTAACAATACTTTGTTCTGTTGAGAAGGGGCTAAGACTATCATTTGTATATTATGTCTGTAATTGGAGCAACCACTGTAGAATTTGAGACTAAATAGGATAAACTTTATTCCAAAAGATTTTTGTTCTATCACTGACAAAAGGAAAATTAATTAGAATATATTCTGTTTTACTATTTAAATAATTTCTTTAGGCCTGTTTTATTCTATGTGTCTCTCACTTATAGTTCAATGAACAGAAATCAAATATCCAGCTACTAAACAGTGTAGTTTTGTGTTTACATCATAGTTCATATCTTTTGCTTAAGAACAGCTGATCAAATGCAAAACAATGTATATACACATCTATTTCAAGCTATAATATTAAATATATTTATTTTTTATTTATTTAATAAATATTAGGGACCATCCTGGGATGCAGACTCAAGCTTGATCTCACAAAATAAAGTGAAAAATCTTTATAATTCAGATGGTTTTGTATGTTTCCATGGTACCTGTTATTTTGTAGCTATTATTTAAATAAATATTTGGGTTCACTCCTGATAAAACTGTGTAGAGAAGAGCATTACTTTGCTGTGTGCAGATGGACTCGTTGGTTTGTGTGCAGTGTACTCAGTGCTGTAGTCTGTGTGTCCCTCAGCCAGCTGGTTCTCTTGGCTTCAAGCAAGGACTATGGGGGAAAAAAATCAGAGTCCTTAAGCTTTGAGTTTTGAAACTTAAGACCTAAAAGATTACTTTTTACTTTTATACATCAGAACAGTTTTTGGAAAATTATGAGACTACCCTCTCTTTCCTCTTATACTAAGTACATCCAGGTCAGGTTAGAAAGAGCAAATAAAACAGCACTGAGAAAATCCTTAAATGACTGAAGTTTTGTTTCTCTTCCCTAGAGGAGTGGAGGTAACTTAATAACTAAGTTTAACCATGAGCAGTCATTTGAATATGCACTGTAGTGTATGGATTAAGATTTATACCTGCTACAGCCATTTGAGAAACATTATTTTAAATAAAAGGGATTGGAAATAATTTAGCTATGTGTATTTATAAATTTTGCCTATTTAACAGTGTAGATCCACACAATTGGCAAAACCAGTTACTGGTGATATACATATTTGGGACTTTTCATGAATTTTATGTTTGAAATTACTCTGACAATATCATTTGAGTTACTATTTTCAATATTAATTTTCTTTTCTGTGTTTTTCAGGTTGAACAGTGTATTCAGTATTGCCACAGAAATATGAATGCCATAGTAGCTGCTCCATGCAACATGAACTGTATCAATGCAAACCTCCTTACACGCATAGCTGATCTGTTTACACACAACGAAATTGATGACCTAAAAGACAAAAAAGATAAGTTTAGGAGGTAACTCTTTAAACTTGAATTTAAACCTACTAAGTTCTGTTAAGTGTATTTCTATTTAATTTTAGTGACATTCTATTTTAAAATCTTTATAAACTATATCCCCACTTTACTTTAAATAAAAAGCCAATAGCTTATGATAAATTTTAATGATTTAAAATTTTTACTACATTTAATTTTATTTTGTGTGTGTATGTGCATGTGGGTGCCACAGCACATGTGAAGGTCAGAGGACCACTTCCCAGAAGCAGTTTTCTCCTTCCACAATATGGATTCTGGGGATCAAACTCAGGTACTCAGGGTTGGTGGCAGATACCCTTATCTGCTGAAGCATCTTGCTAGCTCCTAGGAATCATTTTGTAATATGAACATATGAGCATATGGTGGTAATGAACTATGTTACGATTTAGGCTTCATTTTAAGGGGCCAAGTGGTGATATGAGACCAGCAATATCTTGCAGGTGCTGTTGAGGTCAGACCAGGGAGAATAGACCCTGTTCTGGGTTTGGACAGAGGCAGAATTTTTAAGATCTGTTTTTAAGAGATTGGGTTGCTGTGTGGAGCAATCTCCTGTGTGAAGAGTCTAAGAAACAAGGAGACATGTTAAGAGGCTAGGGTGGTAGCTTGGTGGGAAACTTACGGGTTTGGATTAGGACAGATGTGGTGGAGCTGCCGATAAGTTTAATGTATTTAATTTAAAAGATTTGACAGATTTGTGAAGGGGATAATGTGGGAAGAAAAGAGAGGACCCAGGATGACTACTAAGTTCTCAGCTTGAGCATTTAAATGGATAAAAATGCCTTTACTGCGGAAGGGAAAGATTGGGAGGAGGAGAGGGTGAGGTAAAGCAAGAGGCAGCTTAGGTCTTACAGAACTCGTGTACTTCTAGGGTATCTGGGTGGATGGTAGGTGACTAGTTGGGTATGCTCCTCTAGAGTGTAGGTCAGAGGTCAGAGTTCGTGAGAGATAAGAATAGATAGAACAGCGAGCCTGGGTGGGATTCCGAGCAAAAGGCCAAGTAGTGTGTTGTCACATTCAGGAAGTCTTTGCCTCCCTACAGTAATGTTAACATCTCTGTTCTTTCTATTCTTCGCTCTGAATTGATTGTTTTGTATAGTATGAAGTAGGAATCAAGGTTCATTTTTCAAATACTTGTAGTTGATGTAGCATCATATTTAAAAGATCTTTCTAGAGCCAGCAGTGATACATGCCTTTAATCCCAGCACTCGGGCTGAAGCAGCAGGATTGTCCTGAGTTTTAGGCTTGCCTGAGCTACATTGTAAAAATCAAGGCCAGCCTGGACTGCATAGTGAGACCCTGCAGCAAAGACAAAAACAAAACAAAACAAAACAAAACAAACAAACAAACAAAAAACAGAACAATCAGTAAAGAAAAAAATGAACCGGGTAGTGGTGGCGCACGCCTTTAATCCCAGCACTCGGGAGGCAGAGCCAGGCGGATCTCTGTGAGTTCGAGGCCAGCCTGGGCTACCAAGTGAGCTCCAGGAAAGGCGCACTGCTCTTATATAGAGGAAGACAGAAATGGGACCCACTGGATTCAGAAAGTTTTCCAGATGTTTGCTCTGAAAGATTGATCAGAAAAAGAAAGAAGAACAGAAATTCATTATGATAAGTGGGCTCAAGAGAGGATATTTTTAAGGCGGTACTAGGGTTTTTGATGTGCTGATCAGAATGATCCTTTAAAATCAGGATGATTCATTAAAAGAAAGAGAAATTGATAACAAAGAGGATTATCCAAGAATTCAGCCCTTAAGGAGAACAGCGTATAACAAAATTACCTGAAAACAAAATACCCGAAAATGGGGATGGAATCCAAACTCCGTCCGTGGCCTTTAAGACCAGCTGATAACACATAGGAAATGCTGGTAGGAAGGACACACTTGGGAGACTTCACGTTAGTTACATTATGCTTAATAAGTACTTAACATTTCTTTCCTAACATTGTGTTCTTTAAAAACATCTAATTTAATCCTCATAAACCTTAGGAGCTTGTAATTATTAGCCATACTTTGCTATTTTTTATTTGATTTTTTATTTGATTTACCATTAGAGTGGGTGGAGCACCTGGCACTTGACCAATGAAGGTCAGAGAATAACCTTTCTGAGTCTGTTCTTTCCTTCTTTTGTTTTTATCTTCTCAGCACCTTGCTGGCCCCATTAGCCATATGTTATAGACGAGAAAACAAAGTTCAAAAAAGCAGGTTTGTGGCCGGGCTATGGTGGTGCACACCTTTAATCCTAGCACTTGGGAGGCAGAGCCAGGCGAATCTCTGTGAGTTTGAGGCCAGCCTGGGCTACAGAGTGAGTTCCAGGACAGGCTCCAAAGCTAGCAGGTTGCTAAAAATCATATGGCTAGTTATTGGTAGACTTGGATTGTTAAATTCTCAAATATTTAATTTTGATTATTCCAGTAACAAAGGACTGAAGGAAAGGCAGATATCTGCTTCTGGCAAAAATATATTTGATAGATATGGTGGCATGTTCCTATAACTCTAGCACTCAAGAAGCTAATGCGAGAGGATTGCTCCAAGTCAGAAGCCAGCCTAAGCTACATAATGAAACTGTATTTCAGAAAAACAACACAAAATATGAGCAAAAAACTGGGCATCATAGTGCTTGAGCCTGTAACAGCATTTGAGGCAAAGGAGGCAAGTAGATCTGGATTTAAAGATCAGCCTCAGCTACACAGTGAGTTTAAGGCTGCAAGAGACGCTGCCTTAAAACAACAACAATAAAATAAAACTGACAAGATTGCTCAGTGGTTAAATGCACTTACTGCCAAACTGATGGCCTGAATTCAGTCCTCAGGACCCACGTGTGGAAGGAAAGAACTGACTTCTGAAAACCGTTCCCTCATCTGCATGCAGCTACCATGGCACATGAGTATGTGTACACACACACACACACACACACACACACACACACCCCAAAGATAATTATGTAATAAGAAAAAGAGAGGGCTGGAGAGATGGCTCAGAGGTTAAGAGCACTGACTGCTCTTCCAGAGGTCCTGAGTTCAATTCCCAGCAACCACATGGTGGCTCACAAC